TTCGGTCGGAGGGAGTGGATGAGGACCAATTAACCGGTCCACAAACCTTCGGTCATGGATTACCGGCTATTATGAGCGCGGTAATTAAGCCCAAGAACGGTGCCGACAAACATGGCTGAGGATGGTGCCGACGGTGCTAAGTCTTCAGTCGGTTCGTTAGGACGTTCCCAGTCGAAAGAAATAGTGTGGGAGCTTGTTAGATCGCGCTGTTTTATGTTGTAGCTGTTAGTGCCCTGATTTATTCGCACGGGCTAAGTGCATTAGAATACTGCGTACACGCCGAAGGGAATATAAAGAATAGCTTGCAACTCAGATGCCTAATGTTTTTTTTATAAGTCTGAAATTGCTTGCGCTACCTAATAATCTACCTTTGAATCCCTTATAATGGAAGAATACATATGCCCTCTACGTAAGTACATTTTGCCGTTTTCGCCATTTTGAATGCAGTGCTAAAAGCGGCAGACATTCAGTCAGCTGGTTCTTAGTTTCACACCGCTGAAATCTGCACCCTTCCCGTCTCATGCCCGTCTGAACACCCACCCGTAAGACTCTCCCTCTCTCCTAGGTCAACTGTCAGGTCAGCGAAAACCAATCTGGCCCGCCGGACGGTCAGTTTGCACTTTCCATCTCGGGGTGGCCGGGTCAGGGCACCGCCATCACCTCACGGAGTCACGCAGAGGTCATCACGGCAGACGGGGTGAGTGAGAAAGTGAGACCGTCGTTGATCGGGGTGTTTGCACAAGGCCGACCCATTGTGATAGGGCGAGCTGGTCAAGGAAGGGGAGAGCAATGCATTAGGGTTGTAAGATAGATTTGATACTTTGGTAGGGGATTGAAACTTTCATGTTAAGCAAGGTTGATAGCTTGTAACAGCCGCCTCCTTAGAGATATATGCCACCAAAGCCATCACTTTCGGGCTCGGAATCGACAGCGATTCCGATCGTCATTTGCTTGTCACTGGTTGGTGCTTGTTGCTCTTCGTATATTTTGTGCAATACCAGCTTATCCTTGTTTTATGTCATTTTATTCAGTTAAGTACAATATAACCAGGTTTTCATGTGTCAGGAGCCTATTCTTTAGCAGTGACAGTGATCCAAACTTTTACCAACGTCCTCTGTTTTGGCAATGTTTTAGGCTCGAAACCAATAAAAATATCACTGTAAACTAGCATGTTTTGGACCGCTATGAGCAGTAACGTGACGCAAGTCTCAGCTATCGGCCTGATAATAGTGTGTTAACAAGGTTCCGGATTCAGAACCAGGAACGCAAACTGCACCGTTATCCGTGCCGCTGTTATGACGCACGTGGCTCGTATAGCACCGAACATCGTCCTCTGCAGTTGCACAAGTTCAGGCCACTCGTTTGTATTCATTATCCCGCTGTACATACCAGAAACGTCATTATTTTGATCAGAAGGTGCTATGAGCCTCTGATTTACATAGCTTTGTCACCGCAACGAGCTATTATTGAAAGGTAAAACGAAAGTCCCGTTATATAGAATCGAGGATCAACGAGAAAGATGTCTTTGGTTGGAGAATTTTCGTCAGTATTCCGTAAACGTCACAGTGCCTAAGCTCTCCTCTCGAAGCCAAACCCGAGTGTGGCTTGTGCCTGCTCCGTCGAACCTTGGCCTTCGCCGGTGGCCGGAGGGGGACTGTTAACAGACACCGGCCCGGAGGGGGTCGTTAGCAGCCGCTCGTGGCCCGTGTTTGCAGCTCCTCACCCGGCGCGGAGCAGTGGCACCGGGAGCGGCGGGAGCACGTCCGAATGGCTCTGTCGGCAGCTCCCGGCAGCGATAAACACCGGCTCTCGCCGGTTATGGGCTGTCTCTGGGTTCGGGCGGCGGTGGCGGCAGCCGCTCCAGGCCGGGGGTAGATTGGGAGGGCGAGGGAGAGGGGTGTCTCACCTGGCCTGAGAGCAAATTAATTCAAAGAGAGATCTGAGGAAATTGCTTTGGAGGACTTTAAGAAAGGCAACGTATCATTTATTGTTGCACATGGACGCTAAGGACAATTTTAAGACGTGAAAATGACTTAATTGCTTCGGAATTTCAGTACTGCAGTCATCCAGAGGCAACATATACCCACTTATTACAGACGTACATTTTTTCGATTTTTCGAGAACTCTTTCATGGTAATGAGCAGCGACATTCTACTCGTATCTTCGAGTGATCGGCGAAATCACGGTAGTCGGGTGGGATGAATATCGAGCGATATGTTTTGTGCAGAAGAGACCCGGGTCGATCGTGCCAACCAGCAATCAAAAGTCGACTTAGATTTCTTTCGGCTAGCACAAAGTGAGATGTGCTGTGTGAAAAATGCCAGTGAAAAGGCATTATCTCGATGCATATTGGAAAGATAATGAGGTTTACTCTCAGCCACAAACAAACATGGGAAGAATATGTCCTAAAATTGATCCGAACACTGCCACACACACACAATCACTATCGAAAAAAGCATATCATCAGAATAGTAAATGCTCCCCAAAGAAGAAGAAATTCAAATTCATCAAGCTCGAAGGCCGATGCAGCGGTAGACAACAGCTAACAAATATGTAAGTCCCATCGGACAGGTATCCGACCGGGAACAATAGAGATGGAAGCTGCGATCAGCCACCACCACCGCCGACCTGAACTCGTGACATTGACCTCGGCGACCTTCCGCATCCCTGCCCCTCCCCCTGGGGTCACGCGGGGAGAGCGTAGCCGGCCGGTGCGTGAGAAATGATTGATGCGATATTTGGACCGTTCCCAGCAAATTATTGAGGCACCGGGCCAGGGGCGGCGCCACGGGTTTTCGATAGGGGGGGACGGGGACCGAAAATCGAAAATCCCAAAAGTAGATACTGATCGTGTATGCAAAAAAAAAAACGAGGCACGTAACGCCGCGAAACTTGGCAAGGCCCAAAACACATCGAATGGTGCATCCCGCTTCCAAACTTATCCTAGGACACCTAAGATCGATCACCTTTTCAAGCATCCTTGCCTCTAAATCAAAATTTGCAGTCTTGCCAACTCAAAGCTGGTTTCCTACAAGCTGCGAATTGCTTAGGTATGAGTAGCAGTGCCAGCTATTCTTACGTTTCGTACTTTCAAATTTTCGATCTTACGTCTGGTCAGCTTCAGGGCTTCACCATCATATAGTCATGGAGGAAAAGTGGGAATGTCTTCTGCTCTGACAAGTGCGCCAAAACCGCAATATAATTTCAGAATCATGACATCACCACCTGATCCATATGCAACGGGCAGGGTGCAGCTAATGGCTAGCCGTCAGTGGTCATGTCATCGGTGGTCACTCAAAAGGCCATGCTAGGTCATGGAAGGTCACCAGCCGTTATTTGATCACACTTTCTGATGGATTTTACTTGCCAAGAGCTTCGCGGGAAAAACGAGCGCATGCACCGTTGAAAAAATTGAGTGAAAGGGTCTCAGGTCCGGCGACCTCTGCAGGTGAAATGCCCCAGGGTAGGATTCCGGTCCTTGTTGATTAACTTCGTCAAAAATGGCAGTAGAGCTGTGATGTCGGCACCATTGTGTTCGTCATGATCGAGCTGGCACGACCTGCATCGTTCTCATATTCACCCTCCAATCGTAACAACTACAGCAGGGATTGGCAAATGGCGGGGCACCCCCTTTGGAAGGTAATGAAGGTCTCTGGAAACCTCATCCCACATCTCTTTAGCATTAGTGGCTCTTCTTATGGAACAGGTTTCTTGACTGGTCTGTTTCACCCTGGGGGAGCCGATGCTATATCCAATTATAAGGTCTTGGGCTACTGCGTGCTTTTTTGGTCCTGCCTGTGATCTATCCGAACACTTTTTCCCACAAGTGCTGGGGTTAAATGGCATAGATTTCAAATGGTTCCTGTGGTAGAACTGCCATGCTTGAATTTGACTAATTAGGAATGGAAAATTTTCATATAGTAACGGAAATCTATGGAATTTCAGTGAACTTGGTATTATCGGCAATGGGGTCTGGCAGTGGGGTGGGGAGGTAATAAGTAGGTAATAACCCTGCCTGGCGCCCCAAAAAGGGGGCACGATCCCCGAGGCCCTGCCGATCACCTTATAACTACAGGCATCACAGCTCCACACCTTTTGCAGATGGCCAGGACCCCCTGCGATGCATCCCAACAGCAATCTTTATTCAGAACCTGCCTTGATTAACCAACGATGCATTAAATGCGACGGATAGCTCTATAATGCATTGTTATCAACTATTGAACGGGCCTCGCCGATAGGGGGGTACTGTACCCCCCTAACTTTCGATAGCGGGGGACCTGTCCCCCCCGTCCCCCCCGGTGGCGCCGCCCATGCACCGGGCGTAGCTCAGTAATGGATGTTTGAGTCTTCAGTTCAAGTTCATCCGCCACCCAGGTTTACGAACTGGAAATTAGGCCGGATTCGCTTCGCTCTGAAGGAGCGTAAGTTTGCGAAGGGTGCGTGGTTAAACTGGCATTTCTTGGGGAGAAGAATGTTACGGAATGCATTGCTATGACGCAGGGTGTGTATATTTTGGGGGTGGAGCACGGGCCTCGCTCAAAACATCCCAAAACACCCAATTATCGGCCGAATCCCGTAACCAGAAGCACCTACCTCACCGACCCCCTTCACAGGTGGGAGCACGTGCGCAGACCACCCGCACATTGGCGACTCCAGACCGCTGGACTGCCAGGCAGCTGGGCCTTGGCCCAGCCAACAGTGTGGGTTGGCGGTTGCTCCTATTACCATGAGTTTTTTTCATGAGTTGAACGTAAATACGCATATGAAAAGTTGATTCGTTTTTTAATATTTCGAGCTATCGAAACGCTGCAAAAGCATATGGGATGACTTTTTTGGGTTTCTAATGTTATGTTTTTTGATGTATAGGGACACCAGTAACCACAAGCCAATGGCAAACAGAAAACGTTCACTTTCATTCCAAGCGTTTTCACTTTTCTTTCACTGCTACAGCTTTCCTTCTTCACTTCTATCAACCGCCGGTCCATGCCTTGAAACGGCTTCCGGTTGGCGCTCGGCATGTTTTTGTGTGTGCTTCCGGCTCCACTTTCGTTGCTGGCCGGGTGCTTTTGGCGCGGTTCGGGGACCGGTGCAGGTCAGTCGGTCCGTGGTCACTGGTCGGGTCACAGGGTGTGTGCGCAGAAGATGCACCAGGTCAACTTGCTGGTGGTGGTGAGCTGGCTCTGTACGCTGCTCGGCACCTCCTGTACCACGCGGGTGAGTTGGCCGTCAGTTTGGGGAGGGAAGTGGGTCCCGAGGATACCAAGTTAGGCGATAGGAGCGGGTTTGTGTGCTGTTACCGTTTGGGTATACCAATCGACCAACTTTTAAGAACCGAAATCCAAAGAGTTTGGGGAAGGTTGAAACCCCTTTTGGAAGAGAATGTCCATCTTAAGCATCCAATAGGTACGAGCTTTTTAGATCCACCTTATGTCCAGAACAACCAACCTCTCTAATTGGACCACCATTTTGGATCAGCCAACCCCTCTCACATTGGACCTTACATTGGTTCCAGACGCTGCCCGTGCCACTGGAGGCCAGGGGCGTGTTTCAGGAGAGGTTCACCGGCGCCCTCACCCGGTTCATCAACCTCTTCACTGATGGCAACACGTCTTCGCCATGCAGTAAGCAGCAGCGATCGCGTTGTTGAACGGCACTATACCGTGCAATGTAGGGATGTTTTGTGCTCTCAGGGAAAATAAAAAGCTAAACATTTGGTCCTGTTTTACTGGTCAGCTTTGTTAAAGCATGAGATGTTTGCCACTTTTGCTCGTTTGTTTATGATTATTTGAAACGTTATCACACAACATTGTTTATCATTCTAACTTTATCTTTGCAATTAATGAATTTTCTCAATAACGCTAGTCGTTAACCCGCGACCTGGTGGGGGGGGGGGGGCTATTTTTTGCCCCCCTCCAGACTTTTCAATATATCTCCAGAACCGCTGCGCCGATCGTCACCAAACTTTCAGTACCCTCCCGGACATCAATTTTACACATTGTGACCAAAAATTTTTCCAAAGGCTATGATAGGTTGGCCGGAAATGACGTCAGAGTGACGTCATGTTCTGCCGTTTTCGACCCAAAAAAGGGTTTCGCGGGAAGAGCTGCCAGGCCTATAGCTTTGCAAATACAGAAAAATGATGAAGACATAAAAGCTGTAGAATCAACAGGGCTACAAAACTGGTATCTCGGATTTTTGAAATTTTTGGATTTGGACCCCCAAAAATAAAAAAAAAAAATTGGATATAATAATGGAAAAATCCAAAAAGTTTTTTGAATTTCGCAAAAACCGGAATATATGTGATAGTCCTTACCGCCTTCCATCCACATACCAAATTTGAGATTGATACCTCTTTTTTTGGCGAAGGTATAGCGAAAAAACTGTTCAAAATTGATGACGTAAAATTTTCAAACTCAATTTTTAGCAATTCTAGACCCCGTAGCGCAAAACAAAGACCACCATTAGACTCCCCGTGACGAGCTGCATCGAATCAATACCCATTTTATGCAAAACTATCAACTTTAAAATTTGACCTTTTTTGGCCTGACCTTGACCTGACCTTGACCTGAACTTCACCAGAAAGTGACCTAAGCCGTACTTGATAGTCTTATAACCAACACCATTGAGTTGGAAATGAAAAATTGGCCATAAAACATGCATCACACAACCTTAGTAAAGTTAAGTTCATGTGACCTGACCTGTGACCCTTGGTGACCTGACCTGTGACCTGACCTGGTATTGTCAGTGACCTCTAATAGCAACATATCTACTAGGCAGCTGACGCCCTATCGCTGATTATCGACAAAATGCGTTTTCCTCGGTGTTATAGCGCATTCCCTAGCAGACCCGTGAACGGTGAAACATTTCATATTTGACCTGACCTGTGACGTCATCGGTGACCCCGAGGTCAATGAAATTTGGTTTCCTTCGACAAATTTGACAGGCCTTTCGAACGCCGTTTGAATTTTGCGGATCCGTCCAGTAGTTTCGGAGATACGAGGGGGGGGGGGGCAAAAAATAGCCCCCCCCCCCCCACCAGGTCGCGTTATAAACAGACCCCACCAGGGCGCGGGTTAAGTGACACTGTGATAAAAAGAAATACGAAATTATCAGTTTTCCTCTAAAACATTTTTTTTCAATCTACTTCGATAAACGTCGACACACAAAGACAACAGCTCTCGTGTTCGAGTCCTCTCCACTGACGGTTTGGTCCGCGGAGAGTGCGGGTTTTCAAAGACGGAGCCTGAGGAGAATCCTGACGACGAAGAACTTCTGACGGAGCCCGGGTCGGCGCTGGGCGCGCTGGAACTGGATTACGACCTGGGAACGTTTGGCCTGTACGACGACAGCGGAGAGGGCAGGGTGGTCGGAGGATCGCTCTCCAAGCGATATGAGTTCCCGTGGCACGTGAGTTCGGAGGGGGAAGGAGTGTCGGTGGGGACTGTTTTTCTTAGTGAGAGTTCTCCTGTGTTAAATGTACTCAAGCGGTTCATTGCAACGTTCGTGCACGTTAGTAGGGGCTACATCACTGGAATCGTTGCAAAAAATGTATTTGCTGCGCTGCGCGCGACCAACGGTGGCGAGCAGCAAAGCTTTTCTCTGCCCGCGGGCGCAAGCTGTAGCGACACCTACCGCACATAGTACTCGTATTGTATTGCTTTCAATGCAGCCTTTAGGAAACAGGTGTAAATCGGAGTGTATGCGAGAACCTGAAATGATGTCTTCTTGAAGGACCTGGTGGTTACGCCTATGTAGTGCTAAGCCCAATTCCTTCCGGTTGTCTCAGATGGTTCGAGTCCTCCCTTGTGGGACCCTGACGGAGCGTCCCTTTTGTTTATCTCCTTCAGGTGGGTCTGGTCTCTCCGCTGGGTGTGATGTCCTGTTGAACCATCCCCTCTTTCTCCCCAGGTGGGTCTGGTCTCTCCGCTGGGTGTGATGTCCCTTTGAACCATCCCCTCTTTCTCCCTCAGGTGGGTCTGGTCTCCCCGCTGGGTGTGATGTCCTGTTGAACCGCCTCCTCTTTCTCCCCAGGTGGGTCTGGTTTCCCCGCTGGGTGTGATGCCGTTCTGTGGCGGCAGTCTGATCTCGGACCGCTGGGTGCTAACCGCCGCACACTGCGTGGAGCGACGCGCCGCCTCGCGCACCGTGGTGCTGCTGCGATCCTTCTCTCCGCTGAACCCACGGGCGCTCCGGCTACCTGCCACCAACATCGTGATACACCCCGAGTTTGACGGGTCGACTTACGGCCACGACCTGGCACTGGTGGAGCTCTACCTGCCGCTGCCCCTGGAGAGGCTCGGGGGAGCGGTGGCACCCATCTGCCTGCCGGAACTGGACGCAGAGTCGGACGAGGGGGTGGCTACAGGATGGGGAGCCGTCTTCTTCGGTGAGTGTGGAACATGGGAAGAGGGTTCGTGGAGAGAGTGATGGTCTGAAGAAATATAAATCTTAGCTTATATTGGTGCCCGTGCGAATCTCATTTTCAGAAATAACAGCACTGAAACCTCACTGTGTGATTGTGATATGATATCGATTATGCCTTGGCCCAAATATGTAATGTAGTTGGACTTTGACCAAGTGACTTCATCTGTGACCCTAGTTGTTGTTTCCCCAAATATGAGTCCTTTTGTGACTCTGGGCTTAACCCTGTCTCCGCTCCTAGTTTTGTCCTCAGCTGTAACTCCAGTCGCGTCTCTATTTGTAACCCTGACAGTGCCCCTAGCTGTGCGCCCAGTTGTAACTTTTGCTCTAATCCGTGTTTCAGGCTCGCCGCCGGCCTCGCGTCTGAGGAAGGTGACGCTTCCGATCATCTCTCGCAGCGAGTGTAACGACACCCTGCCCGGACAGGTGGACGGATCCATGATCTGTGCGGGAGGAGACCGCTTCTCGGGCACCTGCTATGTGAGTTTGAGAACTCTGAGCGATGGTGCCTAACCTTTATAAGCTTGTGTTGCATGATATTTGGAGAACTTCACTCTATGCGTCATCCTACTTCCAAATCCACCTTTTCTCTCCAGAACTATGACCTTATAACCTAAGTTTTGCTGGCTGCTGAGTGCTGACCTGTGACATTGTAGCACATGAATCAACTCGGAAGACACTGGCTCTTTTTATGGCCCTGACAAGGTCCTCGATAACCTGTAACCGGCGACATCAGTCCGTCTGACCTGTGACTTGGGATAGGTGACCTGTAACAGTTACCTGTGACCTGTGATGACTGACCAATCTGTGACCTCAGTCCTCCTGACCACTGACCTGTACCCGCTGACCTGTGTCCGCCTATCTGTGACCGCCTACCTGTGACCTGTGGTAATTGGCCTGTGACCTCAGTCCTCCTGACCACTGACCTGTACCCGCTGATCTGTGACCGCCTATCTGTGACCTTTTATATGTGACCTGTGGCAATTGATGTGTGCCATCAGTCCTTCTGACCGCTGACCTGTGACACCTGACCCGTGATCGCGGTGACCTGTGACCAGTGACCTGTACCCGCTGACCTGTGACCTCAGTCCTTCTGATCGCTTACTTTGACCTGCTGTGACCTGCAGCGGGACGACGGTGGCTCTCTGATGACCCTGAACGCGGACGGGCGATACCAGATCGCTGGTGTTAGCAGCTGGGCGAGGGCCTGCACGACACTGGGCCACCCGAGTGTGTTCGCGGCTATAACACACGGTGAGTGAGAGTGAGTGAGTGAGAGATTGTGGAGAATAGCACATTGCTGCCCGATTCGCGGACATGGAAGAGCATCACCACTTTCCGAGAAAATAACTTAAAAGATTGTGCTGTAACGTCCTCGAAGTATTACCTACTTCAAACGTACTTATGAGTACGAGTATACAATCCCCAAGATGCTTATCAGTCTTGACCATATTTGATAACTACAGCTAGTATTATGTATGAGTAAAAAGTACTATGAAAAGAGGATGTTTATTTCTTCTTATGGAATTACGGTGATGCAAGTGACTGAAGTCTTACGTTCCGGTCGATTGCCAACTAAAATAACGTCCATTGTCTATTGTTTGCAAGCTTAATTTTTGAACATTAAACAAAATATTAACTGAGCCTCCTCAATAAGGAAAGTGAACTTGCATAAATCAAGTGAAAGGCAAGTCCCCAGAAGTGCATGCCGTTTGGTATGGGATGGCAATAAATGTTCTTCCGATTCTTTTGTAGTCCTAAAGCGTTTTCTGGATATAAAAAGCTGGATATATTTCAGGAAGCAGAGAACGTCACCAAGGCGTAATTATTGTTTTCGCGTTGTTCTGATTTATGCTGATGGTATACGTGTCATGTTTCAGATGTTGTGCGGTGGATCCAAACTACCACCGCGGGTTCCCGTTTCTGCGGCGCTTAAAAACGACGGCACATGATGATCTTTGGCTACGCCTTATGAGTTAACCCGCGCGGGGCTGGGGTCTCCAGCCGAACGCGCGGGGCTGGGGGGGGGTAAATTTTACCCCCCTGTTATCTCCCGAACTAATGGTCCGATTTGGAAAATTCAAACGCCAATCGAAAGCTCTCATCACGAACTACTAACAACATGTACTTAATTTAAAGTTTGAGGTCAAGGTCAAGGTCAGGTCAAGGGTACAAATTGCAAGTTTCTACAGTATCGGCCTTGCACCGTAGTTGCCGAAGAATGGAGTCATGGGCTGAGACTGATCGCCCAAAACGTGTTCTTAGGCTACCAAGACAATATTCGTTGCATACAATATCATTCAGAGGTCAAGGTCAAGGTCAGGTCAGGTCAGGTCAGGTCATCAAAAAACAAAATATAGAAAAGGGCATGTGCGACACATGTTTTATGGGTCATTTTACTCATATAATTCAATAGGCACACTCAATAAGTGATATGGACCACCTCTGGATGAATTTCAGGTCGAGGTCAGGTCAAGGTCAGGTCAAGTGAGGTCAAATTTTGAAGTTGGTTGTTAAGGCCTAAAAAGGTGTCTATCTGATGCAGTTTTTCACGGCGAATCGAATGGTGCTATTTTTGTTTCCGTACAAGTTCTAGAACTTCCAAAAAAGTCATTTTTCAAAAATTTTGTGTGTCGTGACGTCATAAAATTTTGAATAACTCCCACATTTTTGAACCGATTCTTCTAAAATTTGGTATGTAGGTGCACATAGACCACTTCTCTGACATATATTCCGGTTTTTTCGATAGACTCAAAATTTTGGATTTTATAATGATTTTCCCCAAAAAGTCAGTTTTTTGAAAAAATTTAGGCCAAAATCCAAAATTTTCAAAAAACCGAGATAGCCATTTTATAGACAAAGTAAAATTACGTATACCCTTTTTTGTTACGTCTTGATTCCTTTAAAAATGAAGATGTTAGCGGCGTTTGAACTTTTGCCGTTTTTGAGGCAAAAATGGCGAACATGACGTCACTAAAACGTCAATTTCTCAAAAATTTTCCGACGGATTTCGCTCAAATTTTCAGGGAACGTGTCAAATTGATGTAAGAAAAGGTACTGAAAGTTTGGCGGCGCTGCGCGCCGCTGTTTTTGAGATATCGCAAAAATTCGCGAGGGGGGGTAAAATTTACCCCCCCCCCAGCCCCGCGCGGGTTAAAAAGGAATATCGCGTCATTTGAATGGATATGAAGTGACTCTGTTTTACATTGTTGATGTTGTTATGTTGTTGATTTCTCAGGGCTGAAGGAATTGAGGTCCAATGTTATGCTGTTTTGTGACGGTTGGAGCTTGCTTTGTGTTGTTTGATGTTACGTTTGCTGGAATACAGGCATTTGTGCTTTTTTATACGAAGCTGCGGCGGCTGCGTTTGCTCTGATGGTGCGCTTCGAAATAGGGAGGTCCGTGTTTGCTTGTGCAATGAACTAAGTAATTGCAACCTTTACAACATGCCATGTCGCGCTATTCAAAATGCTGAAAGGCACTCATGGACATCGTAAAATCATCGAGTGGCCACTGATGCACCGGAGGATACAGACAACTGAACAGTTCTAAAAATTCGAACTGATATGATGCCATTTTTGAAGCTCCTGTCTTTCTTCGATCTTCCGGTAGTGCACTGCCGCTCTCACGACTCTCTCTCTCTCTCTCTCTCTCTCTCTCTCTCTCTCTCTCTCTCTCTCTCTCTCTCTCTCTCCCTCTCTCTCTCCCCCTCTCTCTCTCTCTCTCTCTCTCTCTCTCTCTCTCTCTCTCTCTCTCTCTCCACGCTACAGTGCACCGCGCTCTCACGGCTGCACTGAGCCCGTCGTCACTATTTATGTCACCGTGTCGGATAGTCCCGATAGGAGTATTCATTTCATCAGTTACGCCCGACTCAGCCGTGTAGACGATAAATCCACCGCGCGGTAGCAGCGGTCACTTCATAAATCGCGCACAGTCCGCGGTGGTACAGGACGCGGTCAGCGGGTGTCCGGACGGTTACACAGGGTGTGTGAGGACGGTCACAGAGTGTAAGGATGGTCACACGGGGTGTAGGGACGGTCACACGGGGTGTCCGAACGGTCACACAGGGTGTAAGGACGGTCACAGGGTGTGTGAGGACGGTCACAGGGTGTGTGAGGACTGAGGACGGTTACGCAGGGCGTAAGAACGGGGGTGGATCGAACCATCAACCCACCACCAACCAACCAAAAAGTACGGATGCGTTCGAGCACTCACGTTTCTACTTTCCTTTCAGATTGCTAAGAAATGTCATGTTTTCACTGCTGGAAAGAGGAACAAATTCGATGCACTTTTAACCGGCAAGAGCTTATTTTAACCCTCGCCCGTAAACGGTGTTTTGCCACCTTCGCCCATGCAGGGGGGAGGTTGGTGCGACCCCCCCCCCCCTGGCGTTTGAAAACGGAGTGTCGTAGAGCTTAGCGGAAAAGACAAACGGATTGCTCTCAACGAGATCTCGCGATTGGTGGTATATGTTTTGGTCCTAGGTCAACATTTGACCTACTTATGACCGGTCAAAGGTCAAATTTTCGGAAAAAATCTAACTTTTTCAGATTTCCGCGCCGATTGCCGCAAAACGGTAAGAGATATCGACTTGAAACCTTAACTATCGTGATCCTTGATCAATTCTCTATCGTTTAGTGTGTATTTCGATGTCATAACTCTAAAAATGATGCGTTGGGAGCATCGGAAGTCTGCAAGGTCATTTGTGCATTGGGTCACGTCAGGCGTGTGACGTCACTGACCTGACCCTGACCCAAAATGAACTACAAGAAACAACCGACGATGCCTGAAATAGATAGCAAATTCGAATTCAGGGCATCAAAATACCCCGAAAAGGCATACAAGTGCTAGAAGTCATTACAGGTCAACCGAGGTCACTGACCTTACCTTGACCTTTAGTAACCTTCAAAATGTCAACGGACATTGTGCCAATGTCAAATCAGCCAGTTGTGATTCTAAAACAATCCATCAGTGTGTCAGGTCAGTCGGCATCTATACCAATGTGAAGCAATCTCCAATTTAGCGTAAATCTGGCCGGAGGTTGTTCCCTTTATGACGTCATAACTCCGTGACCTGACATGACCTTGACAAAAAAAATACCAAAAGTTGCGCAAAGGATGCCCCAGAGGGTACTGAAAATTTGAGCAGGCTATCTGAAACGGTTCGGCGTGTAGCTAAGAAAAACCTCAGGGGGGGGGGGTTGCACCAAAATAAGGGGGGGGGTCCTCCAGGGGGGGGGGTCCTCCTGTAGACCTGGACACCTCGATACGTGATCCAGATCTGTCATGGCCATCCCACGGCGATCGTTAATTCCAGCGGCTGACGACTGTCACCTAGATGGATCGATTTCCCGCATCATCGACAATTAGCATACAATGGCTGAGCGGGTCACCGGCTCCCGGCGCCTCCGCCAGCGGCGACTAAAAGACGCAGTCCTTCCCAGTGAAATATGACGGATTTATTGTATTTGACAAGTTGGGCGAAAAGGGCGGCATTTGCCTGAAGCTGAAAAATGAACGACGAATTAGTGTGATGCTATTACGTACTCATTTGCATTGGAAGATAATTACCTATTTCTTCGCTGATGATGATAAAATGGGAATAAATGAGTGTCACAAAATTACCTTATTAACATGGCAAAAAAAGGCGTAATTGAAAATATTTGAATGAAGATTCAAAAAAGACAAACGAACCTGTAGTTATTGCATTCTTTGATTTTTACATCATTATTGGTTCGGTGCTAATTCAAATATTCCCATGATTTTGGTAATTTCGAAAACTTGCATTCTTTCGACGGCCCATATGGAGAATAGACTCGTCACTCTCCTTGAGCCGAGCCAAAATAGGAAGGACGGGTGGGAAGGCTGTAATCTTTCGGTAGCTGTATCCAGCAGAGAGGACGGGTTAATGGATGTCTGAGGAACCATTAGTAGAACGCCAGTCATGGTCTCTGGACATGGTTATCGCCTTAACAATGTCGCTTTCTAGAGATAACAATATTTCGGTAATATTTTGGGAGGAAAAATTGTTATGATCCAAAAAGAAAGGAATACGAAACTCGTCGAGTTCGTTTGAAAAATGACACATCTGAATAAATAACCTTCGCGGAACCTCTGGCCATTCCCACGCTTGCCTAATAGCCAGTAATTTGGTAACAATTGCCGTATAGACAGACTGTTAGGGCGTCTAGTTGCGGCATTAGAGCCATTAGGGCTCATATCGGGGGCGTGATTTGTACCCCGCTGACTCTCGTTATTCCCAGCGAAAGCACGGATCATTTGGAAGTCCGATACAACCATTAGAAGGACTCAGGAGGTGTTAGTTGGATCATTTATAACAGTGCCCTGCTCTCGACACCCGTCAATTGAGGGCGAACCATGCCAGGAGCTGGTCGAGGTTGACTGATCTTGCGTGGTTCACTTTAGGATCGATAATTTATCATAATCTAGCCATGGGCTTCTCATATTAACTTTTGTTACTTTTGGAACATGCTGGACTCTACGCAAATGGGTTTGATTTTTGAAATGTACATATAAGAAATGGGCGAATTCAGTTCATTTGTGGCTAGGGAAGGACTACAAGTAAAGCGGAATCCATCAGCTGTGACCTTTGTATTTTGCCCTTGGATAACTACAAGCGGCGAGAGCTTTGTGCGTGTGTGCCTTGTCATTTGAATATTTTATACTACCGATGAAACAGTCCAATACGTGGATTCATGAACAGGTTCGCGTGCAATAATGGACTGAAAGCTACAAAAAGGATAAAAGTACATGAGCCGTATTCAACAGCCCCGCAAAAAGTTACGCTTTTCGTGATAACCATAGCCTGCACTTTGTCGGCTACAATAAACAAGCACTGTAGACGGTCGGCCCGCGCAAAAACTGCGATATGCTGATGCCGTCAGCCGATCCCCATTGCGATGTAGATCGCGTGGTGAATCCGGTCGCGTGCGCTCCATCTACGGGCGATGATGGAATAAATAAAACCGTATCGGCTCTGGTCCGACAGAGGCGGGGCGTCATGGCGGAGGGTTAGTGCAGGGGCGGCGCTGGCTGCTAACCGTCCACCTGCCAGCCCCATTCTCATTAAACCATCGCCTGGCGATCGCCGCGAGACCAGGCGCCGCGTAAAAACAAAGGGAATCCGGCGAAAAACCTTCAGGGCGGTGATCAAAAATCAATAAGCGTCGAGTGGCGCGGCGCACTGCGCCGAGTACGCCTCGTCTGAGCGGCCATCATTTCTCCAAGCGGCGCTGACGGGTCGTCCTTGGCCTTCGACGAACAGGTCTCGTCTGAAACGATCGGAAAGCCATTAGTTCTGAGGAAATCGCGCTGATATGGGTCATTACTGGCTGGGTCTGCCATTAGCTGCCACCCAGTCCGCTAGCGGAGGCGGCCGTGCAAATGCCGTCTGTGCAGGTCACACAGAGTGATGAATGGACTCGCCCGCGGTGGGGGAGGCCACTGCTGCTGCCGGCGGCCCAACGAGGGATGGCCGCCGGGTCGGCGCTTCCTGTAAGAGTGCCGCTTCAGCGCTGCACGTGTGTTCTGATTAGGGTTCATGGAACGCTCTCACATCCATTTTGTGTGAAGTGGTTTGGAGGGAATGAGATGCTTTACGAGCTGGTAATATCTGGGAGCGTGCGCGACCGGCTTGTGGCCACGGATACACACGTGCAGAACGCCGGTGGCTGGCGGCGCTTTAGCTCAGTAGCGCTTGCCTTCCGAGGTTTAGTTCGGTGATTTGCAGCGTTCAAATTGCGGGTAATTCTGGGGTACTGGTTGCTATAGATCGTGCTATGTGCTATCCTGCATATGAAGTGCCTATTGCTCTTGAGAAGCCTCGGAGGTAAGCCTTAGCCGGCTGATGTTGATGGATCTCTTGCAAAATGATGAAATTAGTGCGAAGTGAAGTACCTGTGTTTTATTAAGAGGGCATGAACAAATGGACATTTGAAATAACAATTCCTATATTCTTTAAGTACCTGTGTTTTATTAAGAGTACATGAACAAATGGACATTTGAAATTACAGTTCCTTTATTCTTTACGATTTTTCTCATCCAAACTGTTGATAAAATATGATAAAATATCTCGTGTTTTGTAGGTAAGTATGCATATTATGGTAGTCTTCGGGTGTTGCATATGAAAACAGCTATTTATGTTGCACCCCTATAAACTTTCCTTATACTACAACGGAGAATACACAGGGTACACCATGTAGATAAATAGCAGGCTTTATGCTAGTTTTATTCTGATATGAATCAGAATGTATAAAAGGTCATACTAAAGCGGCCATCATAAAAAGATATCTGACGTTTTACCGGCAACAGTATATCA